TTTCGTTCTGCTATGCATGGAGTCGCTATGAGTCGGTTCCGACTCGATGGCACCTGACAACAACAACATATATATATATATAACTCAAGTAGAGGGATTGCTGCTGGGTCGTATGGTATTTTCAATTTCCAACTTTTTAAGAAAGCACCCTACAATTTCCCACAGTAGTTGCACCATTTTACAGCTATACCAGTATTGTATGAGGACTCCAATCTCTACATACCCTTGCCAGAATTGTTGTTTTATGTTTTTTATTTTTTTTAACTTTGCTATTAATGATAGATGGAGGAGTCCTGGTATGGTGCTGTGTGTTAATGCACCAGACTGCAAAGCCGTCTGAACTGCAAAGTTGGCAGTTCAAGCTCATCAGCTGCTCCTCAGAAACCCTATACAGGGTTGCTATGGGTTGGAACCGACTTGACGGCACTATAACAACAACAACAACAATTAATGATGGGTGAGTTGATGTCTCATTGTTGTTTTCATTTGCATGTTTCTAATCGCTAATGATTTTGAATATTTCTTCCTAGGTTTGTTTGCCATCTGAATATCTTCTTTGGTGAAGAGTGTGTTCATGTCTCTGCCCATTTTTAAACAGGGTTATTCATCTTTATGTTGTTGATATTGAAGTAATTTTAGAGATTATTCCCTTTTCTGATATGTCATCACCAAGAATTGTTTTTTTGTAATTTGTTGGTTCTCTTTTAACTTTTGGTGAAATCTTTTAATGTACATACATGTCTAATTTTTAGGAGGTCTGTATCATCAAATTTATCTTATGCTGTTTACATGTTTTCAGTTCTGTTTAATAAGAGTACTTATGCCATGTATCAGTGCCCCTAAGATTGTCCCTAGTTTCCCACAGATAATCTTTATAGTTCTGGGACTTACATTTAGGTCTTTGAACCATCTTGAGTTTGTTTTTATATATGGTGTGACATATAGTCATTTCATTTTCCTATAAATGTTACTACAATTGTTAAAGAAACTATTTCTTCCCCACCTCATGAGTTTTGGTAGTTTGTCAAAGATTAGCTGGATAGATTTACTTCTGGGGGTATCAATTCTGTTCCACTAGTCTTTATGTCTGTAACTGTATCAGAACCAGGCCATGTAGTAGCCTCTGAGATCAGGAAGTGTAATGTCTTCTACTTTACTTCTTTAGTAGTGCTTTGCTTATCCAGGGTTTATTTCTTTTCCATATAAAGGTGGTGATTAGTTTTTCTATTGCTTTAAAGAATGAAGTTGACATCTGGATCAGGACTGCACCATATCTGTATATGGCTTTGGGTAATGACGTTTTCAAAATGTTTAGGCTTTCTATCCATGAGCATGGTATATTCTTACATCTATGTAGGTCTCTTTAGATTTCATGTGGTAGTGTTTTGTAGTTTTTTGTATACATGTTTTGTTTCTCTGGTTAGATTTATTCCTAAGTATTTAACATTTTGGGTAGTTATTGTAAATGGTATTGTTTTCCCAATTTCCTTTCAGAGTTTTCTTTATTGTGCAAAGGAATCTGATTAATTTTTGTCTATTGATCTTATATCCTGTCACTTTGCTGTAACTTTCAATTAGTTCCAATAATTTTTTTGCTTAGACTTTGGGATTTCCTATGTATTTTAAATTTAAATTTTCTAAGTTGTTATTGTTGAGATAAGTGCCACCGAGTTGGTCCAGACTCATAGTTGCTAATGAGTTGATTCTGACTCTTGGCAACCCCATATGTGTCAGAGTAGAACTAACTGATCCATAGGGTTTTCAATGGCTGATTTTTCTGAAGTAGAATGTCACATATTGCTTCTCAAGCACTTCTGGGTGAACTTGAACTTCCAACCTGTAAAGTGTCAGCTTAGTGCATTTACACCATCATTTACACCATCCAGGGACTCCTAATAACCACATTAAAGAAGTAAAAATAAAAAGGTATAATTAATTTCAGCAGTATATTTTGTTGTTGCTAAGTTGACGAGTTGGTTCTCACTCAGAGTGAACCTGTATAACATTTCTGAGGAGTGGCTGGTGGGTTTGAATCACAAACCCTGTGGTTAGCAGTGCAGTGCTTATAGGCAAAATGTTATTTCAACATATAATCAATATAAATTATTAAGGTATTATATATATTTTTTTTTTTTTTTTATTTTCATCATAATGAGTTAAAAATTTGCTAACTATATGCCATGTACTCAACATGCATGGATTAGTCCTTGGATAGCCTCGTCAAGCAAAGAATAATAAGTAGCAGGTTTAGGTGTGATGTAACTATGGTGTAGGACTATTTGTTGCAGATTTTACTTGAGATCCCCAGAAAAGCTTGAAGAAGGGAGCTGATAGCTCTTCCTGTTTTCCTAGTAGTTACTCTGTTCTGCTTTTTGGTTTTTAAAAAATCTTTGTACAAAGTTATATCAGCGAATTTGACAAAGATTATATATAGATAGATAGCTACTATCAAGTCAACTCCAGTTCATGGTGAAATTTCCTGGTCCTGTTCCACCCTCAAGTTTACTAACATGTTTGAGTCTATACCCTTTTGACCTACTACTCAAACATGATTTTCGCCTTCAGTGCTCCAGTTATTGGTCCCAACTAATGTTCTTGTGTGACCTATGAGTGCTTCACTGGATAATTTTTGAAATTACATTGCCAGTCCTTTCCAGCTACTCTGTTTTAGTTTGGACGCCCTCTTGAAACACACCCTCATTGATGACCCTGCTGGTGTTTGAAATATTGTTAGAATAGCTTCCATCATCATTGTAACATGCCAGCTACCACAATATGACAAATGGACAGATAGGTGGTGATTATGTACAGCGACTTTTCAAAATTTGACACTGTGTAAAAGTGGACTTCACCTAACAAGGGATTGTTAAGCTAAATACTATAAGATTTAAAACTATTAAGAAAGTTAACAAAGTATAAGAAAATAACTGAGAAAGAAATAATGAGGAAAACTGGTAAACAGAATTGTGTTAGCTATGCTTCTTCAAGGCAATAAAATATTACTATGTAGCGGTACTGAAGGATAATGTGCTGGACCACAAGATAAGTTTGAGCCACAAGGTTGGTGGTTCAAATCCTCCAGCTGCTCCTCAGAAACCCTATATAGGGTGGCTATGAGTCGGAACCAACTTGTCAGCACCTAACAACAACAAATACATTACATAAATCACAGAAAAGTTATCATTTAAGAACATCATTGTACAATTCAAGAATTACTATGATCTAATACTTACTATATTATTTGTGAATTTAAAAAATCAACTATGAAATGTTATACTTGCATAATGTCTAACAACACTGCAGTATTGTAAATGATGTACAAGGGTCTATGGAAGTACTAAGTACTACCTGAATCAGCTTGGCTAAAGATAAAGGCCTTATTTTAAAACAGGAAAAAATGAAGGCTCTGGAAAGCTAAGTGACTTGACCAAAGCTTATAGCAAGTAAACAGCAAAGTCAGGAACCCATATCTTTGCCTTAGTCCAGTGTTCACACAATCAGACTCACTGCTCTCTGAAGTATGATAGCTGCTTTATACTCCATATGAGTTTGTTTTTGTTGGTGAAACGTTTTCCTTTCCCTGTATCCTTTCCAATGTTTCTGGATAATCAATGCTGATTTCTCTTCAATTTCCTGATTGTGTTTTTCCACGTCACCTGAAAAAAAATGACAGATGCTATTACAACATACTTACTGCTATGCTATTTCACATTCTGATACTAGGACAACAATAATAATGACAATCTTGCAGGTTTTTTATTTTTTAAGTTATTTTTCAATACTGTTCACAGATTTTCTCAATTCTATTGTTTTATAATGATTTTAAGATTTCAAAAAGAAAGACTTTGAAACTTCCCCAGATATGGAGCTTCTTTGGAGAAAGTACTCATATAACATTTTTATTGCAGGAAATGAAAAAAGGACAGAGAATCCAATTGCAAGAATCATGAGCACCAAGTCATCGACCAGGAAGTTATTAAAAAAACCAAAGGGAAAGGGAAAAATGTGGTAAAGAAAACAAGGATATTTTGGTTCTGTGTAATTTTACTGATGATAATATTCTCGAATGAAAAACTTGCATGATCAAAGGAAAGGGGGTTCCTGAATCTTATTTTGGAGAAAAAACACCCTGCCATGCTTCAGTGAAGAACATGACATCTCATAATCTAGACTTTCTTTATTGCATTGCACACATACAGGTATACTTCATTTTATTATAGGTATACTTCATTTTGTTGAGCCTCATTTTATTGCACTTCACAGTGCTGATTTTTTCCTTTACAAATTGAAGGTCTGTGGCACCTGTGCATCAAGCAAGTTTTTGGGTATCAGTTTTCCAACAGCCAGTGCTCACTTTGTGTGTCTATGTCACATTTTCATTATTCTCACAATATTTCAATTTTTTTCATAATGCTACTACACACTTTATAGACTACAGTACAGTGAAAACATGACTTTTATTTGCACCACAAAGCCAAAAATATTTGAGTTACTTGCTTTATTGTGGTTGTTTGGAATGAAACCCACAATATCTCTGAGATATGTCTGCATTGTGTGCAGCATCTTGGGGTTTGAACTGTTGGAAACTTACAGGAAAAAAGGAGCCACAGTTACTATTTTCAGACTAATGGGGGATAAAACATAGATATTGTTTTAAAAACTGTTCTGTGAAACACACAGGATAATATATAAATGATCAAATTAAGTTGAAATAAAGAAAATTTCTAAATTTGGGCTAGACAGGATTTCTTATGGGAGCATTCTGAAAAAATAAAAAGTAAAAAAGTTGAGCTACAAGGTGGTGTAAGTGGTTGGACATTTGACAACTAGTCAAAAGGCTGGTAGTTCAAAACCTACCCAGAGATGTCTTGAAAGACAAGTTTGGCTTCTGAAAAGTCACAGCCTTGAAAATCTTATACTCTGATATACAAGGGGTCATCGTAAGTTGAAAATGGCTTGAAGGCAACTTCTAACAACTACAGCTGTGGTGATATAGAAGTGCCCAGACACAGAGAGGACAAGTGATCAATTTTGAGGTTGGAGAAACAGAAAGTTGCTACAATCAGAGAACAACACATGGAAACTTCCTTCTAGGTTTAGATATACTACATTTCCACTGAGGGAAGGGCTTACTGGCTAACATAAATAATGAATAAGAAAATTAATTCATAAGGAGAGATGAGCATGAGCTAAAGCACAGAGGCTGTAAACACAAGACACAGAAAGATGGAAACACCTAAGCTAGCTAAAATCAGGCATCTGAAACTATAGGACACCTGTTAATATATTTTATCCAAAACAATCTTTCTGTAATTTATGGTATTTTACTTTGCTAGGTCCTTCACTTCATGGTAGTTCCTACATTTACTAAAACTCTATAGTCATTAAAGAAGATGAAACCTGTAAGAAGGTAGAAGGAATTCCGCCCCCCTCTCCACCCCCAGAAGTCAACTCCTCTTCAAAGAGACAACTGAGACCATCACTCATTGTCATGCTCCCTAATTGCCTGGTGCTGGCAGTATAAACTAGTGATACTTTAGAAAACCTTTATGGAAGCTTTTAAGAAAGAAAGAAAAAATTAATGTATCTATTCACTTGTTCACTATCCATATTCACCAGAATTGTGTAAATAAATTAACTTTTTTTTCATCAGTGACAAAATGAATTGCTATTAATAACCAATAAAAATAACCATCTACTTTATTTAGGTTAAAAATAAAGCAAAGGAAAGTTTGTTTCCTTTTGCATGTATATACAAAGCAACAGGCTCAGGAATTAGAAACTTTATATTTCAGAATGCATGGTCCTAATTCAATGTGTAACTTTACGTAACTTGACTACCAATTCTTTGTATCACTTTTTTATTTATAAAAACGGTAACACTGTTTCTTGCTCTTCATGCCCTTTGAAGTAATCCAAAAGGATAACTTAAAAAATAGGAATAAAGAAATCACTGGTTCAGGGAAGAGGGTACCTATAGTGCTGTCATTTTTATATCTCCCTAAATATTACTTGGGTTGGCCCAGGATCGGGCAGTTTTTCATTCTGCTGTGCATAAGGTTGCTATGGGTTGGTACCGACTCGATGGCACCTAACAACAACAATTATTCCCTTAATAATAGAACAATGGGTATAGTAAAATGTGATTTAAAGACAATAATAGACTATGTATACAGCAAAAGTAGTTGAAAAGGTACCCGTAGCAACCTCAATTGTGGGGAAATTCTCATAACAGCTACAAGACCCATCTGGTATCAGTGACTGTTCAAGGAAAAGCATGAAAAAGCAGAGGGAAGGAATAAAACACTTGATGGATAGCATGGCTCGCCATTTTGAGAACTGCTGCTGTGACTGGGAGGGGATGCATGCACTCTAGTTTGTGGGTGAGTAAAAGGGGCCTGCAGTGAGGCCTAAAGTATGTAAGGTAGACTGGACCCTGTGAACTATTAAAACTAAGTAGTCAAGCTTCTCTTCCAAGACGAAATCCTATCCTGAATAAAAATGTTAGAACTAGATCCAAAATTAAGCAGAACAGTAACAATAGGAGCAACAGATGTCAAGTGGAGGACAGGATCAAAACCAGGAAATCTTGAAAAGCAAGCTGTCGTATTTTTTAATACTATGAAAACAATTGGAGAGCTTTAGAGCTAGGAAAGGACAAAAGCTATCCTGACCACTTACCATTACTAAACGTACAAGAAAACAATAATTTTTTAAATAAAAATAAGCAACAGAAAATAATAGTAGCTGAATTCTACACATGCTTATTTTAAGACAGCATGAAGAACAGGAACATTTCTACAGACAAAGCATCTGCCCAGAAAGCAGATAAAAATTTGAATTATAATGAAAATTTAGCACTTTAAAATGAACTAAAAGAAATTAAGAAAATTATGAAAGATAAAACCAACAAATGCTGGATTAGAGAAACTCAAATGATGTGCTAGAATGTACCAATAAAAAGAAAGCACAGAAACAAACCAAGAATATCACTCCAGAACTGAATATTAAACTTGGAAGAAAAGGAAAAAAGGAACTTTCACTCACTCAATTCACAATAAAAACTTCAAAAAAAAAAAATATATGGGAAAATGACAAATATAGATAATAAACAAAGACACATATGTGCAATATAAACCTTCAAAGGACAAGCAGACAGGAACAGCTACAGTGACAGAAGATACATCTTCATGATGAACCTGACCTATACTCAGAGTGGTAGTTACTCTAAATACCAACAGAGAGGGAGTCTTCAAAAAAAAAATATTAAACATTAAAATTTAAGGTAATGCTTCTGAAATTTAAAAAAAAAAAATTGAAGTTATATATTGAAAGAATATTTTAAGTGCCTTCGAGTCGGTTCCGACCCATAGCGACCCTGTACAGGGTTTCCGAGGGTGTAAATCTTTACGGGAGTAGAAAGCCTCAGGGTCACTATGGGTCAGAAATGACTCGAAGGCGCTTAACAACAACAACAATATCTCAGTTTTGGTGTTTATGGATCCCTTTTCCTAGGTACATAATATATTCTTTCAATATATAACTTCATAGTCTACTAAAATTACTTGTTTACATGATTAGGGTACTTTAGCAAAGGATCAAATCACTAAAAAGAAGAAGAAAATTAGAATGTCATTAAGCTTTTAACAGTGCCACTTTATTCCAGAAGACAATGGTGTTACCTATTTAATTAAGCTACTTCAAAAAGGCTATGTGGCTGAGAGAGAACAAACAAGATGGCGGATAGGGTGGACGTGTGCTAAAGAGTTCTGCCAACAACAACACAGAATACCCGACCAAGCAGGGGAAGGATCGAGCAGGCACAGACGCCTGGCAGAACCGCTGAGATAAAGGTGTGGACATTATTTTCTTTTGGTGTCTGTTCATTGGTCCCTTGCTGTCTGTGCACCTCCATTTGGGTGACTATAGGGATGCCTGAGCTAGTGGGCTCACCAGCCCCACCCTCGGAGGGTTCTACTACACATGGACATAGATCTCCTGGAAATTTAAAGAGACAGTTTCCAATTAAAACCAAACGGCCACAGCCGGCCCAGAACTGTTTCTAACTAGAAAAAAAGCCTGAACGGGGATTGTGGAGCGGAACAAGCAGACAAAAGAGGAAATAGGCCAAAAATTAAATCCTAAGTTACATCAAAACAACCAACAGTGATATCTTGAAACTTCTCTAGAAGAAGAGTGAAAAGGGAAGCCCATTTCCTAATCACATCTACCTGGAGGTATTCAGAAAGCATAAAAAATACCAAAATGCATACCCATCTAAGTATTAAGTCCACAGATAATCCCTGAAGATGCTCAAAAAACAGAAGCAGATGACCATATCTGCACATGTCCAGAAACAAGATAAAGTGACTGAGGCAAATGAATTGGAAGTAGACCTACACTCCATACTGGAAGATGGGCAGGCTTTGGAAATGCCTGAGAAGGAATTCCTAA